CAGAACAAAATGTGATGTCTGGTTTCCTGGAGTTTTGTGTCAGAGAAACCAGCACTTTTGCAGAGAAAAATAAGCTACAGGAAAGTAAAATTGGTGATATTTTGACAGCGCGAGGATACTGAACTTTATAGGCAAAGCTATAAATTTTCTTTAATTCTTCACTCACAATCCTTTTAAAAAGCTTCGAGTCACATTTTTAAAACTCTTCTCCTTCCTACAAGTCCACATAATAATATACACCAAAAAACCTCCATAAATTTGAGTTTACAGGTACTGTACTGTATAGAGGTTTGAGGGGAACATCTTTGAGCTAATAAAGTTTATATGCACTATATTGTTCATAAGGGAATTCTGAAATGGACTACATGCAGCATACAAATTTTCATAATACAAGGCTTTGGCTTCAGGAGGTTTAAGCCAAGTCAAAATTTATACAGTTTATTATTGTACACAGTACAGTATATTATTGCTTATTTATTGGGTGACAAATATAGAGGAATGGCTTATCTATTCCAGATCCCTTGCAAATGTGCTAGAGAAATTTAACAAGAGTTTTCCCTGGTTATAGATGTATTGTTAATTTTAACAAAATTTTAAATGATTTTATTTTTAATTGATCATTTTTTGTGTATGAGAAATAATTGCTTAAACTGTAATTTGCCAGAGTACTAGGAGAAATTAGGCCATCCATGTAAAATATAGGTTCACATTGATACTTGCGAAAAATAAGTTTTCAGGGAGTGGCTTTTGATGGAACCAAGATGTCTTTCTAAATACAGTAGTGGCCCCCTGCCTAACAGACCTCTTGTGTGAGAGATTTTCCCCTAATCATCTCTACAGGCAGTCTTTCCTCCTGCCCAACAGACAAAATCCGCCAAACAGACTTCTGGTGGTTTGAAATTAGTGTTGACAATTAAAAGTTTGAATTTATTATATACTTTAATTTGTCTAAAGGACTTTTTGTCCAACAAACTTGTCCATTGCACAAATCAAGTCCATTAGACAGGGGTTGACTGTAAATTTTTGAATTACTGTCATGGGGCCTCTAAATGTAATGACAATTCGACTTAGGATAACACTTCAAAATACTGTAGAACCTGCCCCAAAAATATATTAAAATGTGCCTTTACTGAGATACACGGATACTGCCAACATTTTCAGCAAATGGGAAAATTTTATATTTTCACATTTTCAATATCTCTCAAAGAATTATACATATTTCTATCCAAAAATTCAAAATTACGCTTGTTATAAATTCACTTCAATTCTTCATCCAAAAACAGGCTAATATACTGTATTGTGCTTGCCTTTTTAGAGATGAAGGTTTCCATCTATTATTGAACCATGCAAAAAGAAAACCTCTTTATTTCGATTTTTGGAGGACTTTTCAGCCATCAGGAGAAGGGAATAAAAATATTCCCAGTGAAGTCTACTGGAAAACGTGATCTGACAAACATGCGGATGACTTTTAAGACGCATTATTACATATAGCGACTGAGTCCAATAAAGAAATAATTATACGCCAGCAGCATCTCAATCAGGGCCCGCCCACACCGTATATATATATACTCGGCAGTTATTTGGATCCAACATCCTATACCACCCGGCCGAATGGATCATCGAGTCCATTAACCGAGGCAAAGGCGCATCATACTGATATGTCCCCCCTCTGGGAAAGAATACCCGGGTTGCGTGACAGAGGCAAACGCGTTCGGCCCTTCTCCATGATGCAAGTGCTGCTTCTGCCGGGATATTGCAGTCAGCAGCGGCAGAAGCGCGGCCGGTACTCGATCGCCGAAGGGGGGGATTCGGGTTCTTCCTTGAGCGGAATGGACCACTTGTCCGAATTTTATTTTTCTTCCTTCCTCACACAGGACAGCTGTTGCTATGCTGACCCAGTGAAGTCCGAAATCTGGTCTTCTTTCCCACGCCTGAGCATTGATTCTCACGGTGTACTAGACAGCACTTCATCCAGGTGCAGTATATGTACAGTATATACGTGAATCATGAAGGACCTGTGTAATTTTTGTTTAAACAAATAAACATTGAAATAAATCGAACAATCATAATTAACAAGCAAAAATGCAGCTAAAATATTTTGTCCAACGAACTGTTTTTTGTCAGGATATTAATAAAGGCAAAACGCCCAAGAAAAATCGAGTTATGGAGGCTTGAGAGGAAAAGCCTTTGACTTGGGCAAGTTTTTTATGCATTGTTTTCCAAGGAATCCAGATGGAAACTTGAAAATTTTTTTTGAGTTTGTGAGGTTTGATTTATATCAAGGTTGAACTGTATACTGAGAAAACCATTGTAAACAAAATTATTTTTAGAGCACGCATGAGTCAACTTACATTTGAATGGAAGCTAAAAACCAAAGCCAGCAACCCCTTTTTTGCTGGCATGGTTCTTCCTTTTTTTCTGGCACATGAATATATACTGTATATATACAGCACCTGGATGAAATGCTGTCTATAGTACACAGTGAGAATCAATGCTCAGGAAAAATATATATATATATATATATATATACTGTATATATAAGTATAAGCATATATGTATACATTCATTTGCCACACAAAAGGGAACATATTTTTCTTCCTATACAGTACATACATTCATGTAAATACTGTATATACATTCTTCCTACAGTATATATATAAATATATTCATGTGCCACAAAAAAGGAAGGACCACGCCAGCAAAAAAGGAGCTGCGTTGGCTTTGGTTTTTAGTTTCCACCCAAATGTAATTTGACTCATGCTCTAAAATCATTTTGTCTACAATGGTTTTCTGTGTAATACAGTTGAAAAATCAAACCTCCCAAACTCAATTTTTTTCAAATCCCCATCTGGATTCCCAGAAATACAATGCATAAAGAACATCCCTAACTCAAAGGCTTTTCATCTCAAGCCGTCTTAAAGAACTCGAATTTTCTTACGCTTTTTGCCTATTCTAATATCCTGAAAAAATGTTGCACGAATTATTTTAGCTAATTTTTCACTTATTAAATACGATTTTTTGATTTATTCAAACGTTTATTATTTTGAACACAGATCCTTGATGATTCATGGAAAACGAGTCGTTTCCTGTCAGGTTTTCTGATTCGAGTTAACTCTGGCAATCTATCGACGATTTCTTTGAAAGATGCTGACATCCAAACACAGATGTCGCTTCTGCTAACAGGCAAATCGTCAACTTTTTCACGAATGGAATATACAGAAGAAATAACGCGTGATGAGATTTTAAAAACAAGTCTAAAAAAAGAGATAAAAAGGTGGATAAAATCACAGTGGATCATCCATGCAATAAAATCACCGTAGGACGAGTAAAAATCAAAACGAACCATTCGCATTCCAGGGAGAGACGCAGTACTGCACTAACAAAAACAACAGACAGCACTGATAGAGGTCACCGGCACTCACGGCATAAAAAAGGCGAATGAACCAGGGAATAAATGAATGAGTCAGTCAGTGAATGAATGAATGAATGGTATGAGCGGATGAGTGACACCAAGGAATGCTTGTGAAACACACCACCAAGCAATCCGTAAGCTCAACCAAGCGTTCAGGTTGCAAGATACGTGGATGAGCCTCGCCTCGGGGCACAATTAAAATACCTGCGCATCTCCCCTTCTTCTTTTTTGAAAAATTTTACTCAATCAATACTGAATAATTCAAATGTTAACGCACACTCATTCAAATATTTTAGCTTTTCCAAGGGTAACTGGAAACAGCGAAAAACACATCTGAGATGTATCCTCAGGTTGCAAATTGTAATGACTCACCATATTGCACTAAAAAAATTTCAAGGATTACTTTAGAAGGAGAACTGAAAAAGCAACATGGTTGTCTCTCATATTGAAGATTACATTGAGTGGTTGTTGGGATGTGAATCATGAAAAATAAGTGTGAGGACCCTTGTGATCAAATTTCATTCAATGAACTACATTTTTCTAAAATATACTAGTGAGTTGAACCTGATGATAATATTGTACACTATTCTGATACAACAGCTGGGATACGACTTGCGAAAAATTAGAAGACCACTGTAATAGAACTTGACCAGCAGCATTCACTTTATCAACAAGACTTGTACTTATTTACCCTGATATGCAATAAATTCAACAAAGCTATTGGTACCCATAGGAATAACTTGTTCTGCTATCTCTTCAAGCAAAACTCACAAGGTTGTAAGGGACCCACAAAAAATTTGAATCAGGTAATTTGCGAGTCGAGGAGAATCCGCATTTTGAATTGGACAAAATCAGGAATTACAGGAAGGTCTTCTGGGTCTCCAACTGCTGTAAAAATAAGTTGACTAGATCTGGAACTTGAAAGCAAGAGGGAATTTGCCTAATTTATCACTGACTTCCTCTTGAAAAGAAAAAAAGACGTTTTCCTTGTTCTTCTCTTTCTGACATTCCCAGAGCATAGTGGCCCAAACAAGTCCTGAAGAAAATATTTGTGCTTTAGGGAGGTGTTTGGAGTAACAAATTGCTCTCAAGAGAATTCATTAAATACGTCAAAAACTTATTCAACTCAGGGTGGTTCGAGTTAGTAAGGTACAAGTGTAGCAAAAAATGCTGGTTCGCAACTCAAAAACATTTTGGCTATTCTGCGGAGACGCTACGAAAAAAAAACTTTCTTCAGTAAGATTCTTCCTGAAGTAATTCTCGTGAAGGTAACAATTAATTTTTAAAAGAAGAAATGACAACGGGGATATTTACTTTTTCGAAATTTACGGAAAGACCCTCGTAATCCACCTGGAATCTGTCAATTTCTTCTCTCGCTTTTACCCAGCTGAGAAGGAAGGAAGCTTCTCGGGTCAGCGGTAGCAATTAATGCTTCAATCGCTCGGCCGCCCTCAAAGCGGTTCTCTTCGGACGCCACTTCCGCCGCGGAAAAAACCCCCAGAAAATACGCGTCCTGACACTTGAATGGCACGCGTGTAAACGAAGCCTCACCTTTCATAAAAAGCCCCGCAGTGAAACCACACGGGAATTAATATTTTTTCATAAGCACAGTATATATTTTCTTACAAGGAAATCACCCTACTTATTATAATTACTTTTTTTTTTAAACTCATCTCACAGCGCTTAGAGTTTCGAGTCGGTGACGAACATCGAAAAGTCTTCAATGTCTTCCCTTTGTTTCTTGAGTTCAGCGCTTGAGCGTACGACCATTCTGCCCATGTCTGAACCAGCCCATGCGCTGTATCCCTCTGGATTGATGAATCTGCTTTCCTCGGCGATTCCTTGGAAAAATTCCTCCATTTTTCTAAACCTCGGACGCATTCTCTCTCGCGGTATATATCTGACGAGGAGAAAAAATTAATAAAGCTAATATTCGACATCCAATTCTTCAGCAAAAAATCAATCATAATTTATATAATTAATAAAGAATTGCAATTCCACCAAGGATTTGAATTCTAGCATCATTCCCCCCAACCACGCGGTGACGATAAAAAAAACGAAATGACTCCGTCTAGCAATACATGTACTATAGTAGAATCTTTGAAAAATGAAACCCTTGGGACTCACAAGAAACCATTGTTATGCAGAAAAATTCGTCATACGCTATACAAAGCATCGAGACATTTTCCTCTCAACAATGTTGGGAGAGAAATTAGGAAGCTGAAAAAAATCGAGTCCAACACTTAACAGATGCGGTCTTTTTTTTTTAGTGACAATAATGTTAGATAGTCCAATGTTTCTAGGAAGTTTAGGCTTTACAAAATTCGAGAATGGCAAATAAATTTTTTTGGAATCAATAACTTTTTGAAAAAAAGGTGCGCGTGGTCCTCAAATAAATACGTTATAGAACGTTGGAATCTCTGAACATATGTCGACCTCGTCCAGCAAAATTACATGGAACAGATTATAATTAAACTGAATACCATGAACAGAGAATGAAAACTAAGTATTTTCACGGCTCTCCTGGATTTGATAAATATGCAAGACTACCCCAAAAATTTTTCTGCACAAGTTCTTTTTGCGATCATCAAACTTCTGTCGTAAGGATCAGACTACCAGTTTTCAAATTATGATTCGAAAACAAAGAATTCACATTTACTGATTGATGCCTCACAACCACACAATCCGAATTCTGCAAATTTCGCATCCTCTTTGAAAAAAACCGGAACATAAGCTAGCGTCATGAATACTTACACGGCTGCAGCTCCGAACAGGGTGCACACACCCAAAGTAATTGCGGACAGCATGTTCACATACGAATGGGCAGGAGTGCCCTTCATCTTCAGGGGTCTATTGACCACCATCCTGCCACCTTCACACGCGACTCAATTCCCAGATAGTTTCTCAAATTTAAACCATCCTGAAAGAAAATAAACCAGGCGCCTGGTCTACGTTTGAAAAATTTCAACAACATTGAACAAAGGAATCAGATCCAAAAACTCGGGAGGAAAAAGAAAGCGGTACATTGCAGACAGAGAACAATCGGCGACAATCATAAGATATCTGAAAGTACACAATATCGAATGTATGACGAACGGCTTAAAAAAAACTTCGATGAACAAAAAACCAGCATATATTCCCAGAGCACGTGAAAAACAGCCTCGACAATTTCCTGCCATCGCCTGGTACACCAAAAGAAAAACAAATTCTCGCGTAATTCCTTTACGAAGGATTCACGAAATGCCTGGTGGTCATTTGTTCCGAAGATTTGAAAAATGCCGGCAGCGATCTGTTGTACCTTGATGCGAACCAATCCAGCCCCTGTTGTCTCACAACCTGCATGAGGAGTAAAAAAAAAGTAAAAAGAAATTTTAAAATGTTTGCCGACTGAACAACCGTCGGGATTTTGTAATTTTTCAACAACTGTGTGCCTAAATACACAATATTTTCTGCCTACACGCAAGCGTCGCCAGAAAGTATTATAATCAAAATTTCACTCAAGATATACCGTGTACGTGTACAAACTTGAACTAATTCGGTTTGCTCAGGTCAAATACGGTAAGGAGAATTCCGATTAGACCAGTTAAATTTTGGCAGGTTAGTTAGATTCAGGCGACACCTAGACGAAATTCCAGAAAGCAGCTTCAGGGATTGTTCGTCTCATCCCATGTGAAAAAAAAGGATTTTGTACAGGTAGGCTATGCAACAATTTTCTCCGATGAATTTTTAGTCCTAAAGGTTTAGCATTTTCTACCCATTCCATAGGTGTTACGTACAATGAATTTTGTCCTGATACCCGGAATTTCGTCGTCGAGAGAATCCACCAATATTTTTATCACTCATAGATCAACTCTGACGAAAGGTTTCATCCCCTTTTTAATCTCACTTTTCGAGACTCCACACTTCCCTTCGTAATCACACCACTGTTACATAAATTTCGTTACGTGTAAATCCATTGACAGCTGGAATACACTGTCCGAGGTTGGGTTAAACATAGGTAGTTTGAGTTAAATTGTATCATAATACGGAAAGCGAAGATAATTCAGAATTAGTTGAGAAAATCTTCATTAGACTAGTGATTCAGGCGGCACCTGTCCGAATGTCCGAACCGCAAAACCGATTGAAATAAAGCAGTGGTGGTGATCGTTATCGAATATCCGAAAAAAATCGAATTACCGGTGCATCGTAATCCCAACGTTCCATAACCAGGGAAGCATCGCGATAGAAGACATGGTAATTCAAGTTTTCCTCTCTGTTCAGAACGTCCAAAATTATTCGGAACGCCGTGATTTGCGTCGTGGTCTGCAAAAAACAATAAATCGAAAAAAATATAGATAAGGAATTCGAACGGAAGAACTGCTCCGAGATAGACAAAGAGATTTTAAGAAATCCTTTCTGTTGACTTGAATTTTTCCATGAATATTCAGCAAAGCCAAGTGAAAAGAACTAATAAATTTCCAGCAACTTATAACAGTATTAATCCTTAGAAAATTCTTGTCAGATCAACAGATGAAGCGTAGGAACAATAAAATTAGGGCGTTAAAAAATTGAACGACGAGCGACGGGCAAGTCTAGATTATTGGAGGAAAGCGATAAAAAAAAACCTTGAGGCATATAAAGATAATATTTTTAATGAAAATCAAGACGAACATTTATTACACGAACATTCTCCATCGACCCAGAGAAACGATAATTTAAAAAACACTCACCAAACCCGGATTTGATCGACCAGACTTATTTGGGCGAGGATAAATCTTCCTCTCTCTACGGCACACTTCGTCGCGGAAATATTCAAAGATGGCGTTGGAAATGACGTGATGTTCAGGCGGCGTCACACATTTCAGGCACTTCCAGAATGTATGATCAGAATTTTTGCTGCAAAAAAATTGAGCCAGCGGCGAACATTCAATAACAGACCAGCGATTCGGCGGAAATTTATCTTTTTACAGCTTCCGGAATCAACAACAGACGTGCCTTAGAATTAAATCACTTAACTGACCAAAATCACATGAATAAAAAAAAAATCAATTAACCGTACCGATTCTGAGCGACCTTCCACATAAATAAAATGACTCATATCAAACCGAAGAATAAATGACGTGACATTTACATCATGACAAATAAATGCAGGATATGAAGAACGTCGCGCACTACATTAATATCAATCACAGGCAAAAATATTTCATTCACTCCCGAAATTCACAAGCAAGACGTGGAAGTAAACTTACTTTTTATTCTTCAGAATAGGTAATGCGCAGCCCACGTGATAGGTTTTACAGCAATCCCGACAATTGACCACTTCTGCATTTAAGCTTCCTGTTCCGCACAGGACGCAGAGTTTCTTTCCTCCTCCATCGTCTTTCGGTTCTAAAACGATGATATCATCCGGACTATCTGGCTGGTCCATTTTCCGCTGAAAACAGCGAATTGGTCCATTTATTGATAATTTGCGAAGATACTTTTAAATAGTGAAAAACCAAACGAATAAATTAGTGATGCATGCAGCGGAAATTAGTTCCCAACAAGTTCTTCCTCAATTCAACCCGAAAACACAACAAATTTGGAATTTCTCTGCGTTTCCCCAATATTAACAGATCTTGAAAAATATTTTCAGAATTAGACACTATTTCAAACTAAGGCTTACGGGATTAATGAGAGAATTACAGCGTAATTAACTAATTTCATGCATGGAAACAGTTTTCACGGAAACAATTCATGCTGAGATGCTCTATTTCGGCCGACATTTTCGAATTTCTGAGCGTTCAATGTCTGCAGAACTAAAGTACTTGACGATATTTCTCATGTTCGACAGTAACAATTTCACTTTCTATAGGGTGACACACTTCGAAATTAAATCTACTGATCCAGCTCTGACTAGGGCTTTCAATGCATACGCTTCTGAAATTGTCCAGGGGCTTATTTTATGGACACTGAACGAAAGGGCCACATTTTTGGGAGAGCAAACTTTGACATTAAGTAAAGATTTCCTCAAACGGTCAATTAAAGCTAAATTAAACGCCTAATTGCACTTGCTAAAATCATTCAAATGTACTCCTTTAAAAAATTCGACTTGAAAGGAGTTTTTACCTTTCTTCCCGCATATGTAACTGAAGATGGTGCGTTACTTCCGGAGATCCACGCTGAACTAGGACCAGGCCTTGGAATTATCGACAACACCTGAGTCGGCGATGGGGAAACGGAAGGTTCACTGGAACTCGACGAGGACTTGGGAGACTTTTTATTCACCGGGCGATTTACTTTCATAACCTTGAATGCGAGTAATGTGTCCTAAAATGTAAGAAAATTCGCAGAATTTTGCAACGCTTGGTACGAAGGATTAATTGTTGATAACACAATCGAATGGATTCTGACGTTAACACCAGGATAATATGGGCTGTATTTAATTTTTTGTTGCTGAGTGAGAAATCAGTTGATGCATCCAAAAAAAAAAAAAAAAAAACGGAAACCCTCATCGTAAAAAAATTATTTGGATTTCATTATGTTGCATCTGACATCAACAGGCATTACAAATTTTATCAATTTCCCGTCCACGTCGAACGTAAATTTGCTGGAATGACTTACAAACTTGCAGGCTCCGTTGAGTTTAAAAATAATTGAAATTCATTTAATAGAGGGTAAGCAGAGAATCAACCACAACTCATGAAGGGTTTCTCCGAATACACTAGTGCACACTATTCTATGCTTTGTAAACCACTCAAAGTTCAGAATATCATCTTGTGCTAATAAATTAAAGTAAACCGTTCGAATTTGCTTGATTCCGTGTTTTTCTTATTACTACACTCACAGAAGTGGGGGAAATCCATGATACTGAAGACGAGACATTTTGAGGAAATTTTAATGTACACGAAAATGACAGTCCTCTGTTTCCTTCAAGTTCCCTGCGCTCAAAAGTCAGAACTGTTGAAAAATATTCACAATTTTGATATTGACTGTTCCAGTAAATTTCCCCAAAATGTGATTGTTTTCGGAATCCCGCTGCACACAGAGAGTACTCACACAATTCGACTGAACGGCAATCTCGGGTTTAGGCACAACTTCCGGAGATGCAATCGGTAAACCGATACGTGGCGAAGCACTTTTTCCTGTCAATCCATTTTCACTCGGAGTAAACAAGGACGTCGGCGGTACTTTCTCGGAGACGAATTCTCCGAGTCCATTTATAGCATCTGCAATGCGATCAAAAGAAACAAGTTCGTAACCTGAGCATGACAAAACAAAAACCGTCAGCTGCATCACCTTTGACCAGGGAGTCGATGTCACCCTTTTCGAAGTAGACTTTCACGCAGTTTTTGTAATCCTCGTGCAAAGATTTGTCTGCTCCCTCGACGCATTTCTTCATCGTCTGTATCACCGCGTTACTGAAAATCAAATTAAATTCAAAATCGAATAACATTCTTAAAAATAGATTTCAATAATGCAAATGCAGTAAAGAAACGTGAAACATCCCCAAAGATCCTGATGAAAAACACACATGTTAATCCGAACGAACTTCCGAACAATTGAAGTCATGTTAACATATTCAGAGCTTTTCAAAAAGACTCATTCAGAAGACAATTTTTTCAAGAATTACTTTCTATTTGATCCATTGAGGATCTTTCCAACACCGCGATAACGTGAGGTATATTTTCGCAGGGACGAAGAAAAAAGCTTCTTCAGGCCATCGCCTTTTTATTTATTTTTTGTTGAATGACAGACGACAAACCTCTCATGATTTTCTCTGTCAGCTCACAAATGTCCCTTGAATTTCATCATCAAGCCCATGTTCGCTGGAACTCACTAATTGAAGTCATGTTTGTCAGGACTAAACAAGTCAGGCTTCAGTTCGACAGGCTTGAAAATTCAAGCGACACTAGCTGGATTTTTCCTAATACATGTATTCAAGGTGGGGTTAAATCACATCAGACAGCGATTGCGTGTTTAGAAGCGTGGATAAACACAACATTGTCTGCAATCAATTCACAAACGTGTACATACACATAAAAAAAGGTACTCACTCTAAAGAAACATTAGATTCAACAGCAGCGGCGGCACACAAATGCGCAGCAAGCTTCTTCGCAGTCCCAACCTTTTCCAACTGAATCTTGATTCCCTCCATTTCTTCGGTAGCTCGTTGCCTCTGAAGCAGAACATTATCCGAAATAGACCTCAACAGTAACAAACTCGACGTTCGGATCTTGGTCGCGAATTCAATCAGCGCTTCTTTGACACCCAGGCGGGCAACTGACAAGCCTCTGTCGTACGCTTTAGTCGACGTATCCAACATGTGCAACTCATTCAACAATTTCTTCTCTAGTGTCTCCAGTTCTGCAATCATACTCTCCATGCGGTCATCTCCATCGCTGCCTTTCATCTTGTCCACTAGCACAAGACTGTGGGATCTGTTTCAGAGACGAAAATACTGTATAATAAACCAATCGACATACAGCATTTAACAAATTTTGCCACTCAGCAATGCTTCAGTAACAAACTCGACGTTTACCTTGACGCTTCATTTCTTAACTTATTCTCGTTCGAAAAATTCTCCTCCACTTGAACAGGAGCCCTTTTGCTACTGACAAGTGACAAGTGCAACTGCGATCAAAAATACGAGAAAAGATTTACAATTGAAGCTAAATTAAAATAAAAAACACACCGCTTTTCGTTGATATAAAAATACCAAAGAATCCTTTCATTATAAATTTTCTTAGACATAAATTCGCCATATTCTCTCCTGAATATGTCATTCCAGTCGAAATAAAAGTTGCCATATGTATCGATCGCCGTCTGATTACGACAATTTTTAAATCTGAAAATTAGGGTCCCGTTATAAGATGAATTGAAGCCAGTAATGCGATATTCAGCTGAATACCGTATCTTGTATACTCTTTTCAACAACGTTCTGCACTCTTTCTCGAGCTTTTCTCCACAATTTATTACTGTTTCTTCGAAACATTTATTTCATATACCAAAACACAGTAAAAAAAAACAAACAAAAAATTGCAGATTTTCAAGGACGGAGGGCACATGAACACATAGTAAAGCATTCTGTGATCATAAACCATTTGAAGTTGATTTACAGAGACATGATTTCAAAAAATCAGGCAAATTTGAAAGTTTTCGCGGTCGTTCGTTTTTCTTTCGCAGATGTCGCCGGTGCCTGAATCCCACGCGGCTTCGTTCACATGAACTACCGTGTGATTAGTTACGGTACAGGTGAACGTCAAACCTTCATCAACGATGGCAACGAGAAGAGGATTCAATTCTTTCAACATTCTTCAAGCAACAGAGAAGCACATTCCTGACAGTCCAACGAAAACTCACCTGATGTGGGCCCTGGAGCACTCGTCGCACAAAAACACCCGACACGTTCGACACAGTTTCTCCGCGGGCTTGCTCGTGTGCACGCAGCAAAAACACACTCCCAACGTCTTTTGTGGATGAACGCGGTCCACGACGTGGCCCAGTTTGGCCCGCACGCGCTGATGCGTCATGTAGCAGGCGGGACAAAAGGACAAGACGCACGTGCGGCAATAATACGCCGAATCAGCGTCTGGGCAATTCGAGCACGGTCCGCGCGGAACAACGTGACCTTTCTTCTCACTGAAGTACTGAACGGCCAACGCGTGGCGGACTGCTTGCTCCTTTTTGAACGGCAATCGGCAATGCATGCAGGGTTCTAGAAAAAAAAAGAAATGCTATCTTTCAGTTTAGTACGAAGAAAAAGAAAAGACTTCGTTGCATTCGATTCATGGTGTTCTTGACCTTAACGCAATTTCCGCAAATTCAAGGACGGGAAACTTCGAATTCTGATTCCTGTTCAAACTTTTCGAAGAGATTGTGACGCAAGAATATAATCTCCATTTTTTCACTATTCAACAAGTAATTATGCCTCCTGTAAAAAAGCGCTTAAAATTGGAGTCCCGAATCTATAATTTAAATTTCTATAAAATTATCAGTACATCGTGAAATACAATTGCAGCAGGGCTACTTATGTTACATAGTTTTTTTTATTTTTTAGGATTAGGTTACACGGATGTTCTGGTCAGATCTGACACTGAGGCAACTTCTGCCTAACAGTGCGACAACACTGACAACAGAGGGGTATAATGAAGAAGTACGCCTAAGACGTCACAACCGAATTTCCATTACACAGACTTTAAAATGAATAAATTCGTTCTCAGCACAATAATTAGGAATTGTTGATTACCTGGGTAAAAAAGAACAAGCGTATTTTTCCTCATAAACGAATTTTTTCGCAAATACTATACAGCGAATTTAAAATGCTGATCAGCAAGATGCTTTAGTACCATTTAGAAAACTAAAATATAGGGGATCATAGATTTATAGGTGATTTCATGGACACGGTCAATGGAAGCATGGATAATCGAGGTATGTGCTGAACAGGTATTTATAAAAATTCCATTGAGTCCACAAAACTTTTAAAGGTAAGCCGTTCAACTTTTGAAAGTCAACTTACGTTTTCCCTGTGGCAAATCGTCGAAACAATTATTGCAAACGGTGTGCATGCACGGAATCAGCCATGGCTCGCGAGTGAACTCCGTGGTCTTGCAAATCTGGCATTTAAACAATCTGTCAAGTTCAGAATGATCTTCCACAGGACCTATAGTCACACGCTTAGACGCGATCAATTCGTCCATTTTGTCGTCTAAGAGGATTCAACGCAGTCTTCAAAGCGCAACCTGCAAAAATTAACAGAAACTTCGGCATCACGAATCAATTACCGGAAGAATGATTGTCAACCACACACAAAAAAAACAAAGAAAATGCAACGCGTTGTTTCGAAAATAACAATCGAATGACAGCTTCGAGAGACAGTTCACGCAATGAAGAAAGTCACAGAATCCTTTTCTTTTCCCGAAAACGACCATCACACAAAAAATATATGTTTTCTTAATTCCTGCTGAAAGCACTTCCCAATAGGGCAAACAAAACAAATTTTCCCTCATAATGGAAAAAAAAATCAGTTCAAACCAGCCGCCATGATGTTCACTGGTCTGTTCTTGTATTTCTTGGATATTTCGTCTTCAATCTGAAAGACAAAGGGACCGTCACAAATCAACTAGTGTGACAATTAATTACAACAGTATGACATTACCTCATGTTGTAGGTTAAGAGTCTTGCTGATCAGAGTTTTAAGCGCTGGAACCAGTTTTCCCCTGTCTTCAAAAGCTTTTGTCTTCTTCAGAAGTAATCCCTCGGAATTTGCCTCCAACTTTTTAGCGATGTCCAATTTTTCCCGAACACTTTGAGCCAAACGGTCAACGTACCTAATGAAACGAAAGGTCCAAAGTTTTTTTTTTTTTTAAACCATGCTGGAGCTAAAAAAAATGAGTACTTAGAAAATGTATATCCTGATTAAAGATATTAATATATATTAATTATAACCAATTTGATTCGATTTTCCCTAAGATGGTGACTGTAACCGTTCAGGATATTGAATGACTAAAAGAAAACCCTCCTTTTTTAATACAAATTATTGCAGATGGCAATTTCAGATTATCACGGTAATTTTGAAGTCCAGAAAAAGTCTTCGGCGGAGTGCAAAACCGTTTGAAATTTAAGTTCCAAAACCGTTGGAAACAAGCAATAATTTGTCTTACCTTGGAGAACTCTTGATCAGGAACAGATGTTGAATCCTGACATTGGTGAACATGCCGATGATTCCCGTGACTTCAGAAAGCATCTTCTGCAAAGATTCCAGGGTCTGCATTTGTACGTCCGCTGGGGCGTGTTGAAACAAGGACAAGGCCAGGACTTGACCATGCTCATTACTCGAATCATCCGACAGTTCATGCATTCGACGACGTAAAAACGCCTCCAGTTCGCACAAGTCATCGACGATTATGTTTCGAGTGCGCATGTTATCTAGAAGGGTTAGTGCGTCTTCATCAGTTGCCGTACCGCCTTCTACTCCACTGCTTTCTACTGTGATCCCGGCGTCTTCCAAAGAGCCCTCAAGACACTCTTGTCCAGCTGGACCCCAACTGATAGTCGTCTCGGTGTGATCTCCCCAATCAATTTCGCCTGTTGAACACGATCAAACAACAGTGCATGGATTGCCCCATCTCATCTATTTCTTACAAAAAAAACAAAACATACTAGGGTTCATATGATCATAACATAAGTCATGAGCTCTAAACTTGCACAAAATCTTATTATATAATAATATAATATATAAGGATTACATTAGGAGATTATATAAGGTATAAAAAAAAAAATTACGCTGGACTTTTTTCTAAGGTGGTTAGCGCGTAAGTTTAGATAATACTGTACAGTATTTCATGGGAGCTTCTTGAAAAACTAGACCCACAAAATTGAAAATGTTTCGGGAAGTCTTGAGTGCGAAAGTTTATTATTAGGGTCGAAAGAAGGGTAAACAGGGCATGAGAAACTCTGCTTCAATGCCTAAAAGGTCTTCAATAATTATCACAGTAAGAAATACAGTACTGTACTATTTGCACTTTTTCCTCAAATCCAAGTGGTTACCAGGATACTTCCTACGATTCTTTCACATCCTCCCCGTATTTTTCCGACGAAAGTTTTAGTATTGATGGTCTCAAAGGAATATCATTCTAATTTTCGCAGGTCTATTAATGCTTCAATCATCCTTCACTATTGAAAAAAAATTCAAGAAACAGATGATGGAGGAATTACCTGTCGCATTGCCAATATCAACGAAATCTCCTGTTCCTCCTTCAGCCTCTCCGAAGTCAATCTAAAACAGGGACGATCATATGAGTTCGATGGAACTTCAGAGAAAATCAATAAATACCGTACCTTTTCAAAATCGTCCGAATCGGTAGAGTCTTTTCGTTGGACAACGTCGTTCAATTCCCAGTCAGTTTCCGGGGGAGCTTCAATTTTCAGTGGGGGTTCTCCATACCTCCACTCGTATGTGGTAACGTTACCGTGTTCTGAAAATAATAAATCCCATGATCAAATCGATGGTAGTAACAGGTTTTTGCACGAGGTTCTCAGTTTTTTTCAACTTGCGGAACTCTTTTTGAAGATTATTTTAAAGAACTACAGTAAAGCTCTGTAAGAACTACATTAACATCTGTTGAAAACCACAGGATTACAGGAATGTGCGACTCACTCGCAATAAACCATAGCAATGGGACACATTCGGGAACATTGCGTGATCCCAACGCGAAAGCGACCGAAGACTGGTAAAACTTGCAGATATTCTCAATTCCGGCGATTTCCTTTGTTATCTTTTCATATTCTGTTGGTAGTTCATTGAGCAAGGCGATAAGCTCTCGTTTCAAGTCATCCCCAATCACGTTCATTTGCTTGCAGGATTGCTGAAATTTATTACGCATTCCTTCAGCGTTTTTCAAGGCATCAGCAGCACGTTTCTCGAATTCCTCCATGTCATTATCGAATTTCGTGATCTGCCGCCTAATTCCAGGAATCTCGTAGACAACATTACGAAATAACAGTTGCGATGCTTCCGCCAGATAAACCCCGTCGGCTTCGTACAGTTTTATGATCTCTTGCCAATCCTTCATACGCTGAGACGAGTAGTAACCGAAGACGTTTTTCGAGTCCCTCTCAGTTTCTCGCAGAATTTCGACTATTTTCTTGCAATGAAAGTAATTGAGGTCTGAAGAAAAAGAACACTGTTGAATACATGGTGCGCATACCAGCCACTACAGTATTTACTTACAAGAACCAGAAAGCAGTGCGGTAATGTCCGGATGTTCGGGCATATCCATCAGGGCAGCAGTTATCCTTTTGCGTATAACGGCAACATCTTTCTGCCAGTCGTCTTTCACATGCCTACGACTAACCAGCCAGTCCAGCAACTTTTGGGCGTGGATGTCGATCGGCAAAGACGAAACGTCATGCATGGCGAAATTCCTGCGTCTTGGAATCACACAGCAGAATAATATTAATGGAACCGTCGACTCGCACCAGAATAATACATAAAATCAATCACTGCACACTCAGGTAATTGTAAACATTCCAAGATTTCAGCGTTTCACGAGGAAATATAGAAATTCGACCTTCCCTCTCAGCAATACCGAGCTGTGTCCCTCTTTCCCAGTCCTCACATGCACAGCTTCCACACTGTGTAATGTACTGTACAAAGCCACCACGCTTGCTCAACGCGGGATACAGTAGTTAGCGTGTTGCCAGCAAAATATGTACCTGCTACTGGATCTCTGTGTTTTTAGGAAGTAGGGATATGGTTCAAAGATGGCGCATGAGTGGTCCTCAATAACCAGCTTTTACGTTGAGCAGCTGACTGGCTGCAGAGGCAGGGCGTGTTTCATTGTGTGCGGTGTCACGTAAATTGGTATTGGTGCTGCTTAAATCAATGGGATAATCTGAAAAAATTAGTTTGTATCACCTTTCGCGCACGGTCTTGGCTCAGTGTACGTACGGGTCCCAAGTAATGTCAGTGTTAGTATTATGCGCGACGGCATTAATTCATTCGTTGTCGAGAAGTTTCAAGTGTGGCAAGATTAATTGCTGTGCTCATATGGTTTTATTCATTTTTCTTCGCAGAAGAGTCTTTCTCGGCAAGCTTTTAAGAGTACTTTGCATCCATAATGACCGAAGAAATCACTCTTGAGACCGCACCTTTTGATCCGCGATTTCCAAACCAGAATCAGACAAGGCAAGTGGAATTAACGCGTAGTCAGCAGTTATTCATGTTCTGTTATATTTGCAGGCACTGTTACGTGAGCTACGTGGATTACCACCGCTGCATTAAGATCAAGGGTGAAGACTTTGAGCCATGCAATTACTTCAAGAAAGTCTTCACCAGCTTGTGTCCGAATGCGTGGGTCGAACAATGGAACACTCAAAGGGAAGAAAACCGATTCGCCGGACCCCTGTGAAATACTTTCATTGCACGCACGAAGAACGGGATCGTTAGCCGTGCCTTCGCGCTGTTGTGCAATAGGTTTTCNTATGGTTCAAAGATGGCGCATGAGTGGTCCTCAATAACCAGCTTTTACGTTGAGCAGCTGACTGGCTGCAGAGGCAGGGCGTGTTTCATTGTGTGCGGTGTCACGTAAATTGGTATTGGTGCTGCTTGAATCAATGAGAAAATCTGAAAAAACAATTAGTTTGTATCACCTTTCGCACACGGTCTTGGCTCAGTGTACGGGTCCCAAGTAATGTCAGTGTTAGTATTATGCGCGACGGCATTAATTCATTCGTTGTCGAGAAGTTTCAAGTGTGGCAAGATCAATTGCTGTGCTCATATGGTTTTATTCATTTTTCTTCGCAGAAGAGTCTTTCTCGGCAAGCTTTTAAGAGCACTTTGAATCCATAATGACCGAAGAAATCACTCTTGAGACCGCACCTTTTGATCCGCGATTTCCAAACCAGAATCAGACAAGGCAAGTGGAATTAGCGCGTAGTCAGCAGTTATTCATGTTCTATTATATTTGCAGGCACTGTTACGTGAGCTACGTGGATTACCACCGCTGCATTAAGATCAAGGGTGAAGACTTTGAGCCATGCAATTACTTCAAGAAAGTCTTCACCAGCTTGTGTCCGAATGCGTGGGTCGAACAATGGAACACCCAAAGGGAAGAAAACCGATTCGCCGGACCCCTGTGAAATACTTTCATTGCACGCACGAAGAACGGGATCGTTAGCCGTGCCTTCGCGCTGTTGTGCAATAGGTTTTCCGCGAAATGCGGAATGTGAATTCTTCTGTCCTTGAAAATAATTTCTTTTGGACGGAGTAATCGTTTTGTCTGAGTTTAGTACTTGGGTTCATGCGTCTCGCCCAACTGCGAATAAACGCCTTTAGACCATATGTGCCGTTTATCTATTGATTTCGCCGATCGTTTGTATGCGTAAGTCAATTGGCTCTACGGATTTTTTGTTAGGAATTGTTGAAATCAAGTGATCTTCGTGATGGCGTTAAGGGTCCTAATCGGCTGTAAGCGTGTGATTGACTACGCTGTCCGGGTAAGATATTCTGTTCTGATTTTAGCGAATAGTTAAGGTAACACGTGAACACGTTTCGATTAAAGGTTCGAGTCAAGCCGGACAAAACTGGTGTTGTAACTGATGGTGTGAAGCATTCCATGAATCCATTCGATGAGATCGCTGTGGAGGAAGCCGTCAGAATGAGAGAGAAAAAGATTGCTAGTGAAGTTATTGCCATCAGCTGCGGACCTGCTCAATCACAAGTATGAATTATTGCTAAGGTTTCCAAATCCGATTTATGCAATTTATGGAGCGTTCATCTGAGTGTTGTTTTCGCATCCGTTTTTCCTAGGAAACCATTCGAACTGCTCTAGCTATGGGCGCGGACAAGGGGATCCACGTAGAAATTCCGAATGCCGATATGTCAGTGTTTCAGCCAATCCACGTAGCCAAAATTCTGGCAGCTGTTGCCAAGAAAGAGAAGATAGATTTAATCATTGTTGGAAAACAAGCGATAGATGATGATGCCAACCAAACTGCGCAGATGACCGCAGCTTTGCTCGATTGGCCTCAAGCTACATTTGCATCTAAGATAGAAAAGGCAGGTGATGATCTTGCGGTTACCAGGGAAATCGACGGAGGTTTGGAGGATGTCAAAGTGAAGATCCCGGCAGTTATTTCAGCAGATTTGCGATTAAATGAGCCTCGGTATGCGACGTTACCGAACATAATGGTGAGATAAACTCTTCTGTTGTGTGTATTTTCTTCTTTCGAGCTCTATATAAGCTTCACTTCGTAAACCGTGTATCTAGTGTGTCTGAGCGGGTCCCTTCTTTCACCTAAACTGTCGTTCACACATCACATATCAGATGATCTGAAGGTCAAATAGGATTCTCTTCTGAAAATTTTTGATCTAAACTTCATGGTTTTGCAAAGCTTTTATGGGACTTGTTTTGTACTCGACTCGCCTTGGAAACAATCACATACGTTATTCATGAATGTGAATACTGAATTTTTCTTCATAGCTTCCCCTAAGTTTTCTGGAATTTACGTGTACTCCTCAAACGATATTAGATGTGGAAGTTTTTCTTGAAGTTGGACTGTTTTTAATTGGTTAATTGCATTAGTTATGTAGATTAGGTCAGAAGATTTAGTCGAGTGAATGTAATTTTTTGAGCAAGTGCTATGGTTTAGTATGTTGCTACTGCACTCAAGGTATGGATTACTAGTTGTACTAGGTTTGTTCTGTTTACTGACACCCTTTATATTTTTCACTGATTCCTAAATTCTTATTGTACTATGAAGACGAGTGAACGATAAACGCCCGTTTATGTTACGGTTTTCAGAAAGCCAAGAAGAAGCCTGTTCAGAAGCTGAGTCCAAAGGACCTCGGAGTCGACATTTCATCCCGAATCAAAGTGATATCCGTCGAGGATCCACCGACTCGTCAAGCCGGCATCAAGGTTGATGATGTCGATAGCCTTGTCGCCAAATTGAAAGAGAAGGCGTTGATTTAATTTCCGCTCTCTTTCACCTGAGTTTATTCGCTAAGCATTGCGAAATCGTTTTTAATTTGGTTCATTGTCTTAATGTTTCTCTTGTGTCAGGATATTTGGATCAATGTTTGGGTAATGATCGTGTAATAAATTCTTATTCGGGACGAAAGGCTACTCTTGATTTCTTTCGCCGTAAACTGTAACATTCCTTCAGTGTTGAAAGACATTGATGCTCAAATTTTTTTTTTCGAAAGTGGAGTGGATGCGTACAAAATGGCAGACTCGATTAATATGCGGACTGTGCGGCGAATAGATGCTTCTGTGAACTCCATCGTCTGCTCCGCAAAGCAGGTGCAATTATATGAGCACGAAAACGGCAGCTGGGTAAGTTGACAGAATACTTTTCAATCTTAATAATTTTCCTCATGATCTAGTAATCTCCAACTTGCTGATCAATGCGGATTGCTTTTCTGTAGGTGAAAGCTGATTATGCCGGCGGCTTCCATATTTGCTCAAGGTGTGTAACGCAGGTGTGGTTTTTGTGTGTCGTTCAGTGATTTACGCATCGTTATGATTTTTTCTGCAGAGCTGCTTCGCCGTATTTCACAATGGTTATTGTTACAAAAACAAGCACGAAGCTGTGGGTTGAACCGTTGTTACCAGATCTGGAGTTCGAGCATCAACCTCCGTTTCTTCTCTATCGTACAAAGCACGGTAAGCAGTCCTCAAAGCATGTTAATTTGCCACGAATACGTATGGAGTGCTTATAATTTGAGTACCCAGTGGATGAATCAATCCGGTAATGCAATTTTCTAAATCTGAATGTATCAAGAACTGCATCAAGTAATGAATTGTGTGAAACGGGAAAGCCGCGAATTAGTTATTTGGAATAAAACAAAAACTATATCGGATGAAAGTCTGTGCGGTTAATGTAAACCTAANTGTTACAAAAACAAGCACGAAGCTGTGGGTTGAACCGTTGTTACCAGATCTGGAGTTCGAGCATCAACCTCCGTTTCTTCTCTATCGTACAAAGCACGGTAAGCAGTCCTCAAAGCATGTTAATTTGTCACGAATACGTATGGAGTGCTTATAATTTGAGTACCCAGTGGATGAATCAATCCGGTAATGCAATTTTCTAAATCTGAATGTATCACGAACTGCATCAAGTAATGAATTGTGTGAAACGGGAAAGCCGCGAATTAGTTATTTGGAATAAAACAAAAAATATATCGGATGAAAGTCTGTGCGGTAAATGTAAACCTAATCGCATTAGAAATCCGCATAAATCGAATGAAACTAGAGATGACTCAAAAGAAACGTTAAATGCGCTGTGATGTCTACCGAAGCTGGAAAATGTTTGGATTAGGGTGGAAAGTGGAGGATTGTACGACCAAATTAACGTCGATAAGGAAACGTGACGAGTTGAATGAGCTCTATATAAAAGAATCACTCACTGTTAAGCAAAAAAAATCCAGTCTAAATACCCGACACCAAAATGCTGGCACGCCAGTGTAGTCGGATTATGGAAGTGCTCCAGTCGATCCGCGTCGAGCATCGACACTACAACGTACTAGCTGTTCTTCTCGTCGCGCGAAACCATCGATTAAGAGCAGCGTCTGTTTTCAGGTACGAAGTCAACGAACAGCTTCCCGTGTTACTTCGGTAAGCCCACTCATTTGTAGGGAATCGTACGATCCCTCCGTAGGTCGCACTTCATCCCGTGCTTATACTGTTGTTGAACTGTCGTGATATTCAAGTACACGAAAAGGACATCGTTTCTGCGACATTTGGCTTAGTTTTTCTAGATATTTTGACGGTCCGCGTTTTCTTGGTACAGCTAATTTATTTGCATGATATGATAAAAGAGATGCAGTACTTTTGGTATGTGCAGGAGGTGAATGTTATTCGGGCATACGCAAAGAAAGCATATGCAGTACTGAAGAGCAAGTTCTACGAGCATGATTATGCAAGAAAGCAAGAATTGTGGAATTTATTAATATTAACTTTTGGCTAGATATGGGAACTCTTCTTTTTCGGTGCCTGCTCAGTTTTTTACCACGCAGTATTCTATCAATTTTGTTTTTCTGTAGAACAATCAATGTAGAATAATCCAGGTGGACTAATTCAACCCACAGCGATATTCTTATTTCTAAAAAAAAATATATTTGAACGGCGTTTCGTAAAGCAGACCTCATCCCACCAAGAATGATATTCTCTGAAACTGTTTTTCATTTCTCAGAGCATCTTCGAAAATTTTCCCGTTCTTAATTTATTTGTAATTAAAGTGACACTCAAATAATATAAGTGTATTAAATAAGATTTTACATTATTCTAATTCAAGTTTCGATGCGTTATTTCCGGCAGAAATTCGAAAATGAGGCCGACGAAAGCGTGAACCATTCGGATACCCCACCGTTGCTGACTCCGGCAATGATAGCGCTCCCAGAGTCTTGGAACACGTCCAAGTCGTCTGATCGTGAGCGTTCTCTGCCACGCGACATAATTCCGGTACAAGCCTATGTTCTTGCACCTGTCTTGATCATGCATTAATGTTTTATCATCAACAGAATGACCTGAACCGGATTGAAACGACTTTCGATTCTCAGCCGCGTCGTGGGGGGCCTATCACTCTGCAAGAAGTCCGGGAAGCTTTATTGCACGTGGTGCAGGTGGGTTGAGAATAAATTTAAAGACTTGTTGAATCGATGAGGTTCAAAGTATTCCTCGATGAATAAGTATTTCTGATGTCTTATTGGCGCGATTATACCCCTCGACCTGATTTTCAAGAGTGATTTATGGGGGAAACTGAATTTTCCGACACAAGATGAGAGTACATCAGTATAGTAATGGGGGTGGAATATGGATTCTCAAAGGGGGAAAATGCGGCTGACACCTATTATGAAATTATGTAGCGTTGGCCAAAAATGTCGATTTTAAAACTGTAGTATTTAGTAAACGGTTTAAGCTGTATGGTTTTACGGTTAAGTTGAGCGGTCAACGTAAAAGTTTTCAAATAAACAAATAAACGTGGACCTTTTTTCGTGGTTTTAGTTGCATCGAAATGACCAACCTGAGCTTTTACTGGACTTGATTCTTCTAAAATTTTTGGGAGGATTGAGGGCTCGCGCTTTAATTGTCCTGGTAAAGTTTTTGAGGGTTATTTCGGCATTGCGGAAAGTGTAGAAAATAGTTCAACAACCCGCAAAAGTTGAAACTCCGCGAGATACCTAAAAGCATTTGTAATGGATGTTAAAATGTAATTTTCCAGCATAACGACATGGTTGTGCGAGAAGTCATGGAAGTGATCTGGGAGCGTCGGGGTCAAAGGCGACCCGACGGTGACGTGAATTGGACAGCAAATGGACGTTGGAACCATATACATTTCTGAAAACCTGTCGCTTTCCTTTACAAGAAAGAAGGGAGGCACTTGGAGTTTTTCACGCGTTGGTATTGTTGAGCTTCATTGTTCGGTTAAAGCTAATTTTTAAAACAGTTGGCATCGATTGAAATATTAAACGATTTGCATGGTAGCGAAATCGTTTCGTTTCGTCTGATGGAAAAAATGTTCTCTTCGGCGCCGGTGTAAAGAAAAAGAAATGTGCAGGGAAAATCAGTGTCCGTTTCAGTGTGTCATCTACCACAAAAAAGTATCTTCCCCTTGAATTTTGGCCTGTAAACTTTACGCTATTGATTGTCATAATGAGAATCGTGTTCAAGACAAACTGTGGACTTCCGTTTCCTTTCATTTGAATGAGCATTCCACGAGGAAGGGAAGATTTCTACATGATTTACCTGTACTTTCCATTCATTCAAAATTATTTAAAACGCTTCTTGTTCAGATTTCGCTCGGAGAGAAAGCAATTGCGGGTTGACTTTTAGATGCAGAAATCCTCCAAATCACGAAATGAAAGTGGGAACTAGGAACCAATCGACAATAATTTTGACTGACAGTCTTGAATTCCGCATAGGTTTTAAAACCCATACTCATTTTTTCTAAGTTTTCCTGGTTTCTGTGATGAACCATACGAAATCTGAAAATTACACACGTGGCGTTGCATGCAGGAAATTCTCACAGATCGCATCCACAAACATGTTTCTAGTCTTCAGTTGAATCAAATTGAATGAAATGATTTTATAAGTAGAAATGCTTTCCTGAAAATGATTGGACTTGTTTCTCGAACGGTATTCTTATGTGATTTGCAAGACGTGTGAGAACCCTCGGTTATCGCGCGTATGCGTTATGGAAGATGCATTTTTTTGTGCGATAGATGACACGCGAAATCGGCAACGAATTATTATTTTTTGTTGTTGTCAGAAACTGTGAGTTGGCGAGTTTCGTGGAGAATTGAATGCTCTGTTGTTGAAAAAAGACGCGGTGCGGAAAATGTTGCTGTACTTCAATTTTTAAATCATCCGCTTATTTTTAAAATTGAAAAAATGATCATTTTAACCAATGAGTTTATCTCATTTTTGTAGAACTGCTTGAAAATTATTGAGCGGAAAAGGTCATGACGAGTAGTGTGCTTCTGCGACGTGGATTGCAGACGTGGGCGATCGCGAGACGCGCGTTAGGTCGCGGGTCATGCGCTGACGGTGTGTGTCGAATCGACGGAGTGATGGGACGTGGGGGTGTCGAAGGTTTGCGTCCCCGGGTCACGGTTGACAGGACTGTGGCCGGAGGTCCTCTGGATGACACGGACATGCGACGAAGGATGGAGGAAATTTCATCAAAGTTCTCGGAAGCCCTGGAGATGATCAATGATGCGGTAAGTTCGTCGTTATCGGATACTATACTGCTGCTTTGGTCTGTGGACGTCGTATTCAATCCTACGGGGTGTCCGTAATGAGAAAAATACAGGGTACTGTATACGGTTTGATGTAACGAGAGCTTTGCGGAATGGCGAATGGGATCGAGACACCCGATAAGTCAATCAACCGAGCCTTGCATGTAATTGTGTATTTGTTCAAGATAGTTTGGAAATTGACTTCGTTGAATAAAACACTGAATTAACGAAGATGCGACGTGCATTATTATTACGAATAACGTAAAAATTGAGGAAAACACTCCTCAAAACGATGAATTATCTTTGAAAATTAATTTTTCCGATTGAAAAATTTCGCGAGCAGCCGGATTTATTCCCGAGCAACTTTTGAACGACGACCGTTATCCGAAGCCGCGTCCACTATCTAAAGCAAAATCAGGGCAGCCGGAGTCCATTGTAAAATTGATTTATTATGCATGTTGCTACCATTGTAAGTCTCGAGTTCAATGCAGTATGTCTCCTCGGTCTAAATGTACTTATGTATACTGTTCACTGTACCGTATACTGTATGCATAAATATGAAATACACGGTATTTACAGTATAAATTTACAGACAATTCCAGTGTTGACTGGTTTTGAATATTATTGCACTGTGTATGCCTAATCGTGAATATAGGTGGACTCTTCTACGACGAAATTTTGAGGACCAGCAAATAATTCGTTTTACTGTGAAAATAAGTTGTAGACAAGATTGATGTAGAAAGAGTTGCTGTATGTAGAGGCGTCGTTTGCACGAATTTTCTGGGTTCGAATAAAGTGCTTAACTGTACTTGGTGTAAAATAGGCAGTGTCACTTGGTTGATCACAACAGCTGTATGAAAAATAATCAATTTAACCAAATTCATCTGAATGCTTCAGTTGTAATTCTCTTTGACCATCTTTTCGAGATGCTGGGATTACAGGTAATGCAGAAACTTGAACAAACAAAACGAGGCGTTGTGGAAGGATCACTTTTTCCCCTTGCCCTTCCCAGTGGAGCCCCTTTTGTCTTTCCCTTTCCCGGTGCTTCCTTTTCTGGGCTTCCCTGCATCGATGCTAGATTTCTTTCCATCCTTTCCACCTTTCCCGGCCTTCCCGAGGTCCTTGCTTGGCGCTTTCTTCCCTTTAGCATCACTGGATGAGGAGGACGTGGTTTCTTCTTCCTCTTCCTCCTCCTCTTCGCATTTGGAGTCTTCGCTGGGATTACAAGGCGTCGTGGTGGACGAAGGAACAGTCGGAGGAGTCATGGTTCTAGCTGGGAAAAACACATTGTCTATCCTCATCCGGTCCCTGATGGCGAATGCGTCAGTGTAGAACCTGACCTCGGCGTAGAGCCGTTTTTCTTCTTCTGGTTTGGCGAGTTCGCACTGGAGGAGCTGCTCCAACGCAAACTTTTTCCGACAAAAGATTATGTCGTTGGAGCCGAGTCGCATGCAAGGACAATAATCATTGACACCGTCCCCGACGTAGACTATGTGAAACGTTTTCAAATTGTTTGCTCGGCGTTTTGAAATGTGTCGCATGAGGATTTGGCCCTTGCATAGATTCGGAGGGCAGAGATCGCATTGACGTTGGCATTCATAGGGTTGGATGCGGATTTGATGACTGTGGGGGTTCACGCAAGCTGGGTTGGTGTAGACGTTGTATTTTGGAATGACGTTGTTGAGGTTTTTGTGTTGGAGAATCGAGTCGATGAACACGGAGTTGGCGTCTGAGATGATGATGGCCTCTTGTTCCGAGTTGTAAATGTCAAAAAATACTTCTTGCATTCCCGGGGCGAACTTGAGCATGCGCACCTTGAGAAAAATTTAATAAAATTCATTGGCCGTTTTAGAGTATTCCAAAAGAAAAGTATGGGAAATCTTTATATTCTTTTTCTTCTGCATTGTCCATTGCGAAGATTCATTCCATGGTACTTGTTCCGTTTTCGAACCTTGGAAAACTCAATTCAAGAAATGAAGTGATGAACTCCGGTAGACCAGTTCGACTGAGAAAGGTACTTTTGCATACTTCGCCGAGAATTCAAGCGATCAAAATGCGAATAACTTTATTTTTACTACTTCATGAATTTACCGTCTTTCAAATGACCACTGTCACCGTGAATCATAAAAAGTTGTAAATTTTACATCATTTAGGGGTTATGATTATTTTTTCGAGCGAAACTTGAGCTATGGCAGTATCAATAAATTTTTAGGTACATTATTGCGAAATGAAAATGGTTTTCTACGTTTCAAGACTTTTAGTTGCAGGATGATGAGATGGCCATTACAACCTCAATATGATCAATTTAAAAGCAAAAATCGTAAGCATGTTTGAAAATAAATCCATTCATCATACATCAGGTTTACCTGATCTAATTTCACTATTTTTAAATGCTCTGTAGCATAAATCTTGCCAATTTCTTTTGTCCAATTCAAATTGAGGATTCAAACCTTAGCCAAGATTTGGTGCGCGGTAATTCCCTGCTGTCGAAGATATCCGAAAACAGCGCCCATGAAGGTTGCATGTTCCACTTGCGGCCGAATGGACTGCAATTCTTTGGGCAATTCTCCTTCTGGAGCCAGTTCGATCGCTGCTTCACTTGAATCCCCATCGATGATGGTATCATCGAAGTCCATAGCGAGTAATGTTTCTTCGGAGTTCATGTTGTAAGGAGTAAAGAATATGTTGAGAGGGGAGTAAATTGAGAGGTTAATGAAGGTTTCTCTTCGTGTGTTCTGTTTTGTTTTGTTTCCGGGATGTCATGTGAGCAGAAGTCGTCGGTTGGCACGGTGTATTTTTCGGATGACATGAACGATGCGAAGCATCTTGTCGAGGAGGTTCTGGCGCGATTTTCTGCACTGATTGAAGAATCGGATGATGCTCAAAAATCCAAGATCCAGTCTACGATCGGTGAGTCATTACTTTCTTATCAGTAACGAATTTAGTCAATTTTTAAATCTATATATTTTAGTTGACGAATACGTGAAAAAATATAAAAGCCATGTCCGTCAGTATTTAGGAATGATTCAGACATAACGCTATCTTCTCTGCATGATTTCAACTACGGTATTCGGTTCTATTTTCTTTTCTTCCAGGTTTGAAAATTGAGGAGTTGAAGGCGCACTTATCTATATTGGATGCCACAGCGAAGGAATGACATTTTTCACTATTTCATCTCGCGAGGACTCGTGTTTATTTTGCGCGCGTTTTTAGAGATTGAAATCGGTCCATGTGCGGCAATTTTGATAAGTTTCGGAAGTGATTCTAGTTTTTTGTGTCAACCCAGAGCTTTTGAACGATTCTTGTATAAAAGCTAATTTTTAAACGAAGATAGCCGAGTCTCTTCTTCATTCAATAATTTTTTTATACTTGTTTTCTGTTGATTCTTTTATTCAAATGTATTGTTTTTGTGTCCTTTAGGCCCTTCAATATGAAGCCCGTGGTTGTTCTGGATAACGGAGCTCACACGCTGAAAGTTGGTCTGTCGACCGACGCTCACCCGAAGTGAGTTTCTGTTGAAAGAAATACATTCACTTCGTATTAACCCGAACTTCATCGTTTAAAGGGTCATTCCGAACTGCATAATGAAGGTGAAGAATGAAAGACGGCGAGCGTTTGTGGGTGCTCAGATTGACGCCTGCAAAGACCTGTCGGGACTCTTTTACATCCTTGCCTTCGAAAAGGGGTATTTGGTCAATTGGGAGGTGCAGAAGACGATTTGGGAGAGTGTGTTCACTCAGGACCTGGAACTTGAAGGCAAAGAGATTTTGATCACCACTCCGATGTTCAATTTCACGTCCGTCAACGAGGGAATACAAGAGATGATGTTCGAGGAATTCCAGGTGTCTGCACTAACGTTGAGACCGGGTTCGTGATTTCCGAAAGATTCCCGGAATATTTTCATCCAAAAATTTTATTAGTTATGTAAAGTCAACATTTTAAATGGGACTAGTTCAGGGAAAGTAAGTTTCGACTTGGCCCATATTGGATTTATGCGCTAGCGACATCTACGAGAGTGGGATTGAGCTGAAATTATCGCCATGTCCAGTGTTGCGCTTTCCTGGCATTGCTAACCTGACAAGATGGAAAAATGGCGAAACATTATTCCGTTCTCGTAAATTGTTGGCGGAGTTACACGCAGAATAAGGTTAAAAATGAATGTTTTTCGAGCAGGAAACTATTTTCGATTTTCCGATATGTTTTGGATGCGAAGAAATCTTCGTGTCGAATGTTTCTGAGCGCTGAATAGCTTAATTAAATCGCAAAATTTGGCAATCGACGCTGGAACAATGCGTTTTTCTTGTTCATGAAGGATAACTTAAATTCATTCATTAAAAATCGCTGAAAAGATGTCTCAAAAATATTTTGAAAAAGAAAGGAGTACAGTATTCGGAAAAGAAAACCGGAACTTTTTGTGCTCCCTTTTGCAAAGGATATGATTCTTTTTCGCAGGTCCAGATTTATCTGCTTGGAAGTCTCACCTTGATTGTTGCGTGATAATCGACTGTGGATTCAGCTTTTCGCACATAATTCCCTACTTCATGGGAGAGCGTATAGAAAATTGCGTGCGACGCGTCGACGTCGGAGGAAAAGTTTTGACGAATTATCTCACGGAAATAGTGTCTTATCGGTGAGCAGATTTTACCCAGAGAACGAGGCTGGAGTCCGGGAATCCTCAATTTTTCTTGTTTTTGTTCCTTCAAGTCAGTTGAACGTGATGGACGAGGGCTACGTGATAAATCAGATGAAAGAAGATGTTTCTTTCGTTTCACTCGATTTCACGAAAGACATGAAGGCTTGTGCCACGAAGAACAATAAGATTGCTCGTGAATATGTCCTCCCGGATTTCTTGAATATCAAGCGAGGTTTCATGAGGGAATGTGGAATTGCTAGCGAAAATTCAAACGAACAGGTCCGTATTTTAAGAGATCAAGGAATAAATCGTTGGAGGCGTTATTTATCATGCTGATCGTTAGTTAAAAAGGCAACGATGCGGAAGAAAGTATTTTACGAACTGCGAAAGCTAAAATAAAGTTGTATCCAAAAGAAAGTTATTTTTAATTGAATTGATTTGGCGTCATATTTTCACCTTCTGTATTCAGATTCGTCATAAGATGAAAAATGGACGTGAGAAAAGCTTGCGAATTAATTACATGATGTAGTTCGAAGTGCGTATGTTTAAAATCCTTGAATTTGTCCTTCAAAAAATGTTCACGTCAAACATGTAAAATTTATATTACACGTTGGCGTTATTACGAGTACAGTACTGTATTATAAATCCATGAACCAAGAATTTGAAATTGAGGGTTTCAATTCTTGAAATTGAATTTGGAACGAATTGGGTCGAAGAAGGAGGAATAAGTCGATTTTTTGTGAAGCAAAAGTGGAATAAAATTTCCGGATTATCAATTTTTCTCAAATCTTGATCTCTCCCTAATTCAACAGGTGGTTCATCTTATGAATGAAAGATTCTCTGTACCAGAATTGCTCTTTTCACCTGGTAACGTTGGGTTGGACCAGATGGGGGTCGCAGAAGCCACTGTAGAAGTTATCCAAAAACTTTGTCCTGAGGTAAGGTGTACTTCCGCGCTAATTTTCGGGTGTTTTAATTCATATTTTCTCGGCAGAATTTACGGTTCTCGTTATTCAGCAACATAATTCTCACTGGAGGCTGTGTGAAGTTCCGTAATTTCGCTAAACGACTGGAACGAGATATTCGATCCATGGCATGCGATTTGTACGATGTCAAAGTTACCATGACGGATGATCCAATCACCGCTCATTGGTCTGGTGGAGCAGCGTTTGTAAAATCGAAAGAGTACGCTGCCAGGAAAATGACAAGAGAGGATTACGAAGAACTCGGACCGAGTAGAATTGTTCAGCTCGCATCTGGATCCATTTCCCCGAAAAATATGCGATCGGACGAGGATGATCTGGACGATGGAGAAGATTTTGATGGAGTTGACTTGGTGGAGGAAGACGATAATGAGGAGATGGAAGACGATGGTGAAGGCGACGAGGGACTGGAGGAAGATGATGAAGAAGTCGATGCAGAAGATGTACAAGGTGAAGACGATGACGACGAAGATGAGGATCAAGGCGGAGATGATGAAGAAGATGATATTGATTTTGATTAGTATGCTTTGTTGATTATAGGTGTAAAAGATGAACAAATTCTTCGTTCTAGAAGTTCCCTCTCCCTTTTAATCCCGGAGATCATGAATTGTGTTGACTATTTTAAATTCACGGAGCGCTAGGCTTTTATGAGGTATCCAAAAAGCTACTGTGCCGTACCGTCATTTTTTACACATCCTTGGACCTTGTCCATTGTAACAAAAGGTATTTATAATTTTTTTTTTTAATTTGAAATTGAGTCCTATACGTGATGGTTCATCTTGTTGCTCATGAACTTTATGTCGACTTGGGTGATATACGAGGCCATCGAAGAATTAGTTTTCCTTCCGTAGTTCCGTGTATGATACAATTAATTTTTTTTAGTTTGATGTCACTGGCAGTCTCGTTGGCATTTCGATTCAAAAGAATTGGGCGGAACATTTTGGACCAATTCTCAATTGAAGATGTAGGGAGTAAAGATTTTAACATTGACTCTTACAGGGGGTTTCCATAATTTTTATCGACAATAGAGTTTCTTTGCAATTATCTAAACTTTGGAGTCCGTCTCCACAGAATATTCGAATTCAGGATTCTCTCGGCTATCTAAACATGTATATATATTTTTTTGTTGTTGAAAATATATGCTTTGGAATAGCTATTAATTGCTGCGATTTTTCCCTCCCGAGGAGAAGCGTTCAATTAATTCAGTTCATGATCTTCAATCATCCAATTTGGCATTTGGTTCGGAGTAACTTCCATCTTCCAGCCGTTAATCTAAGAATTTTTTAAATTTGCGTATTCTCGAAAATAAACGTATCCCGAGCAGTAAATATTTAAAATATCTAGGGTTCATATGCACTTGCTTTGTATTTTATTATGATGTATTGTCGGCCATTGGTGGGTGGACAGTCGATTTAAAAAAATTATATTTTGAGTGAGTTTCGCTGTTCGATGATGCGGCTGTGATCTCAATTTTTTTTCACGAATTCATATTGAGACTTTCATACGAAAAAAGAAAAAAATTATTGTGAGACCTTTTCGTCGGATTGGAGTCATTTCACGCATGATTGAACTCGGAAGAGATTGCATTTACGGATCGAATTTTCCCCGCCTTCCGTGAATATTTTGCTGTTTGAAATGGTTTTTGCATTGCGTACGCATTTTGGAACGCGCTGTGTATATGCATTGCAAATTCCGCAGAAAAGGCCGCGACTGAGATTTTCCGTTGACAGACGAGAGTCTCGTGGTAATATATGCATAATCCACTCCAATGCAATTTCTGGAGAAGCGAGGTTACGGCTGATCATGATGCAGATAAGAGACTGTGTATATACCTCACATGTCTCATCAGAAAATCGACACAACATCATGACGTCTTTGGGGATTTACGTAGGCTTACTCATCCTCACAGGTCTGTGATGATTCTATTTCGGTTTTGTAATTTTCTTTTGCTATACTGTTTTAGTGCCGGATGATTCATCTGATGCTTTATTGAACCCACGAAAGCGTCATAATTCCTTGGTGTTCGTATCTGTGCTTGGAACCAATAGAACAGAAAATTATCTTGAAATATTGCGGTTAAATTTGGAGCTTTGCCTTGCAGAGGCAAATCACAGTGAGATCCATACAATGATGATATGGCATCAAATAGAGAAACTAGAATGCTGTACTATATTTTCCGAAGTAACATGATGGCACCTATTTTTAAAATCGAAGAAAAGAGGAGCGTGTGCATCATACTTGTCTCTAATGGAAAATTCTGGACCCATTTAAAAATGGGAACACAATACGGTAATTGATGATTAATTGAATTCATGTTCAACTCCAGTTAAAATTCGGATTTACATTTTCAAAGGGTGAAGATTTTTAGTCACTAAAATAGGGTAGGCTTCTTACTCAATTTCAGGGTTTCATCCAAATGCAAGGCTGAGAATCCTGTTGTGCTTCTTACTCAATTATGGTTCATTGCACTCAAGTAAATACATGTACTGTAGTTCTCTTGAGACAGCTGCCCATTTTCTCCATCTCTAATTTTGTAAGACAATAATCCTTTTCCTGCTGAAATGATGCCAATGGTTTCATCCAATTTTCAAGGCACTGTAGTCTTGTCTCAGTCAAAGGAGAAGCAATCCTTGTTTTAGGTGCCAAACTTCTGTAGTTAGTTGAGAATGGAATGCTTATTCTTCTTCCAGGCACATTTTTAAAAGCCATACTTTCGTAATTAGTTGTTCATGTTATTGCTCTCGAAAACGCCACTGTTTTGTGATTTCAGAGGCGATTCGCTTGAATCGCTTTATATTTGTAACGGTTATTCATTTTTTCATAGGTTGTGGGAATGGAGCCACGTCTCATTCCAGAAATCCTTTCGGTGATGACCTTGATGATGGCGATCGTATCGAACCCGAGGAATTCCGGCCCGAAACTTTCGAACCGCAGTCCACCAAAGGCATGGTTAAGGCTCTTTATTCGACTTATTGTCATGTAAATGCTGTAATGTGGTAATGAGATATTCATTTCAATTCTCGAGTATATAGCTGCCAGCAATAACAGCGAAGAAGTATTTTTCGAGCAAGGAGATGGCGCCGATCTGTCGAAACTAGCGGATTTCAGTGGCATGCAGATGAAGGGTGTCAATACCATGAAGAAGGACAAGGCTGTTCACCCTGGTTCCACGCTGGATGGTGAGCAAGCGTTTTTTTTTACGAAGAAAAAATAAACACATTTGCGGGTGTGATTATTGGAATCGTGTGATCCAATTTTACTGTTCCACTGTAATTTTATTTATCGACGTGATTATGAAAGTCTCCCAGATCAACATTGTGTGAATAACCCAGATGTCAATTCTTCGTGATCTGAAGTCAGCTCTGTCTTGCTATCCTGTCTCTCTCAGTATATTTACGCAAGAAATATTTTAATTTTGCTCTATCAAATGGTTCCTTTGAAAATGGGCAACTTCTTATTTCCTCAATTCAAGATTAAAATACTGTAGTTAACTTGCGCATGTCAACATGCAAATTTACCCCATGTCTTAATTTTCAACTGAACAAATTCAGCCAAAAACTTGATGCGCTTGAGTTTAAAATCAATACTGAGTAATAATGCCGAATTATTTCCCCGTTTAGACAAGAATATTATGAAGGCACTCGAAGCTTATCCGAGTTCTTTACCACTCAAAACTTGATTAATCTGGATTGTTTTCAGGTGTCACGGTGGAAAACGCTGAAAAAGTAACTCCTGACGCCTCACTTGAAGAAGTAACTACTGTAGAAAAAGTCGCATCGGTTGCTGAGGAAAAACGCAATCCTTCAGAGGTCCAGTTGCAGATAGTGGAGGAATTGAGTTAGTTTCGAATCTGTGAGATTGCGTTGCTAGAATTCGTATTTTTGCGCAGAATTTATATTGTATTTTACTCTTTATTTTCACCATATGAATAGGACGGGGTAGAATTCCTAAAGCAGAAGTCGCAGCATTGTTGCGGAAAACTTCTGCGAATCAGTTGCTTTACCTCAAAAACTTGAATAAGCTGAACAGCTTTGGAGTTCGGGCGATGACGGTGGAACCTGATGGTGATTTATTTTAAAATTTCAATTCATTTTTAAACATCTGTCGGAGATTTTCTTTGTATAGTCACTTTTTTCTTGTATATTCGTTTGAATACGGTAATGCAGTAGGTTTTCAAACGTCAGTGTCAATATGGCTGGGGTTTGTCTGGATAAATGATATAAGTTTGAAAATTCAGTGGACAGCAGGTATGATGAAGGATTTCAAGAATAACCCTGTAAATTTTAATCAACGTGTGTATTACTATGATTGAATAAAAAGGAAATTGAGTGGCAGTCTGTTTAATTTAGTTGAAGTTATATCTAAAATTTCAAGATGGCATTCCCTCTGAAATTCAAGCGTGTTAGATCAGAATCTAAAGGAAATGAAGCAGCTGAAGTTGATAATAGTTGTGTAGGCCGCCTCATTTTCTCTAGAACTCAAAGGAATGGAAGGTTTGGACACACTTTATCGGACGCTTTGATGCCTTGATTTTCACTTCATGCTTGTCGATGATTAATGCGTCTCATTTTAGTGAATATCAAACCTTCAATAAGAGAGATTCGCTGGACTCTTCCTACGGCTGTGACTTCCAGTAAAGAACCAGATAACCTTCAATCAGGATCCACGGAATCGATTGAAGATTCCTCCATCAGCAGCAGCACTGACCAAACCACGTTGAAATTCTCAACTCCAGTGTTGGAGAAAGATTTTGGGGATTCAAAAGTCGGAAAAATTTATTTCCGGAATGCCCGAATAATTTGATGAAATTTCTCCGAAACGCGTCGTTCAATGCTTTGTCGTTTTAGCGCAGAAAATTATCTTCATTGAGGACAAATAATTGGAAACTTCAGAAACGTTGTAAAAATTATAAAAGTGTGTCTTCGACGTTATTTACTATACACTGCGCATTTAACTAATTTTTAGAGCCTGGAAATGTAGAATTGGTTTCGTCGTTGTCTCGCATGCTTTCTTTTCATCACGCTACGATCATTAAGCAAGTTATGATATTACAGTGATAGTTAATACAGTACAGTATTTGAGAACATTTGTATAATTTTTATTTTTAAGAGGCACTGCCGTTTTTAATCAAGTGAAAAAGATTGAGTAGTTTCTTCCGAACAAAGAATACTACATTTTATATTTGTTTTACTTTCGTTATTTCCATATTTTACGTTTTAATAAGTGCAACATTAAGCTGATACTAACTGAATTTGCAAAATTCAAAGAATTGGCCCTCAGTGTACTGTATAATGAAACCATGATACCCCTCTTCCAGACCTTGTTTTACGAATGTAAGCGCATGTTTCACTGCAATTAGAAACCGTACGCAATGCTGTACACACGTTTGGATGAGTCGAGTCCTGAATAATGCGCTGATGTACACGACAGTAAGATTTTTTTCTGCCGTCATAAATGGCACAATAACTCAAGAAGTACATTACGTACAATAATAATAGCGGCCGCGTATAGCTGTTCTTATTATGCCTTGATGGACACATGTATACGTTGGTGTGCTGGTATAGAATGTTTTATGAAAAACACATTTGCCTTGAATGTGCTGAAAATTTGCTTACAGTATCTTAGTTATCCAAAAAACGACGTTTTGGCTCTTTTTGCAGCTAAATGAGATCCTGCATCACAGTATACATGCGGTAGTATATATCTTTCTACGGCTGTGAATTTTCAGATTGTTTCAATATTTCAAGTGATTGATCAATCACTGATGGAATTTTTTTTGAGGATGCTTGTATTTGGTGGACAGGAATGTTTCTTTCCTCGCTCTTCGATGCATATGTGGAACAAATTCAGCAAGCTTATTGTTGTGGGGATGGGCCGCTTTTGACAGACGCGGCGAAAACATTGCTAATTCTTCCAACCCCCATTTGCAAAGCAATCAAGTTTCTCATGCATTCATAATTCTTAGTGCTGTATGTATATAAATATAAATATATACTGTACTCCCACATCATGCTTCCCATGCGAAAATTTTCCAGTTGATCTCATCTGGAGTAATTGCGACGTGGCATATTATTCATTGGGAAACCAGATTGCCCGCCATCAGCTACGGTTGCATCAATGGGCTGGAAATTTTCGAACTGCCTGCTGCAGACGAGATTCAGCTGTCACATTATGCATCGTATCCATGCCTTCGAAGTTCGAACAGAATCCGGTCTGTGGCCTCATCAGAGCTGAATTTTGATTGCGAACAATAAGGCGTGGTTTGATTTCAACCTTGACCATAATTTCAGGGTGTTCAAGCATGGGAAATCCTCATTTGCTGCAGCTAAAAATCAGTACTGACTTGATGGACAGTATACTCTGGAGATTTTCCAGGTTGCAGATCAGTTGAAAATAATTTCATCAATTGAACTTAATTGGCACTAGATATAAGGGACAAATAAGATACCATACAGCAAATATGTCATATATCTTGATAGTTGATACTGATGCATCACTCTTCACCTTTCCTTGATCCTTTTCCGCTTCTGAGGATTTATTTTCTATAGTGTCCTAATTTCATGATGGCTTTTGAGAGATTCCTGATGGGCCACTTGAAAGATATGTACAGTACAATTCTGTTTTTGTTTGAGGATGATGCAAGTATAAGGGTACTACTGTACTAGGGGGAATTCTGGCCCACTGCAGCATTTGCAGCAGTTCAGTATTCCCAATTTGAATCTCCTTGAAATTTGCTCAGGGCATATAAAACCCTAACTGAAGAGGAAGCTGTTTAATGGCTCTATTCAGCATACATATTATTTATATTTTTAAATATTTATATATGAAGTTACCAAGGCGTGGTTTAATTGTTTATAATAGTCATACTGAAACACACGCACTGTAAAATAATTATAGAATGCATATTTATTATGCATCATCAACATAAAAGTAAATGTCAGGTGATGTGCGCAAGATCCAACTGGTTGCTATATACTGCACAGTTATTACATAGCAGATATTATCGATGCATGTCCAGGCTTATAATGCATAGGAATATCTGCTGACACATCTGACCTTACATATAATAGATGCAATACACATCTGATATGAGGTAAACCGTGAACCGTAATATCTCTGGAATACGTATAGACAGTAATACTTGCTGCAGCTCCACGCAGCACTAGACTGCATGGAGCCTAGATAACGAACTTATTCTCTTAATTTTACTTCTTGAACAAAAAATGCGTGTGACGCTGCAGCAGTGATCCACTGATTATGGCATTGGCGGGGGAGGTGGATGATCTCTGTACAGAGAAGACAAGATGGATGAATTGGTCGACGAAACTAATTAGGCTTCATCGAAGACTATAAAGCGTGGTTGAAAAGCTGTCGATGTCCTATTCTTGTTGTCAGTTCATCTCATTTCACTGAATTTATTGCTGGAGTTGTGCTGTTCAAGTAACACACCAACAATGAAGTTGTACATCGTGTTGCTGTCTCTCTGTCTCCTCGTCATATGTGAGTGCAGTACGGTACAGCAGTACTGCTGTAATTCGCTACCCATTCTGTTGACCTCTTATTTCAAGATTACACTGTCGAATTTTAATGCACGATTTGAAAACTGTAGGTAATGTCAGTGCTGAGCCGTTTTTTCCGGAACCAGCCAGTGTGAGGGCCAAGGCAAAAGTGGATATAATGAGTAAGAAGCATGGAAATATCATGAGTGTCGGCCCTTTGAAGTCAACATTCGAAATCGTAAGAGCCAAGCGGGCAAGGGGTGGGCTTCCTTGTGCGAATGAATGATCCTTGATTGTCACCTGCGCGCCACCATCTCCTTGTATCGATTATCCTGCTCGCGGTTCACTTCGGTCTCGACACGGAGTCTCATAAGCACTACAGAATGTCAAATATGCCGGCGTGTTACTCAAAATTGTTTCCAAATGACGAAGACTCATCGAGGTTGTGTTTACGGATTCATCCTCCGTCTCGAGGACTGTTCGATTTTTAATGTTTTCAATTTTTTTTGCGTGTGAAATTTCACATCAACATGTGAAGTACGGTCACGATATATTTATCTCCTGCCCCTGTGGTGTCATATTTTGGAAACCTACCCTGATGAGGACAGTAAAGTTTGTGTTTTCCGAAAGCGTCAGTCTATAGGTTGCCTCGGCGGTGTGTTGATTTATTTTCTGTCAAGGAAAAGACTCTAGGAAAGTAACAGTTTCACAGTACATTACTGCATGTATAAAAAAATTTAGCGTTGAGAAGCATTACATAATAGTGGGTGGCTCTGTATGAAATTTAGAGGCAATAAATAAGTTGAAATTTTTAAAATCCAGTGCATATACTGTATACAATATATAAACTTATATACCGCAGTTACTTCGTGCATCCGAACAATACAATAAGATGCATCAAATCGAATGACATGAGAACCGTCATTGTATATTCATGATGCAGTAACCGCATGTATATACAGTACATATACAAATGCCTGAACAGCAGCATTAAACTTCATGATGATGGGAGACGATTTTCTTTTAATTGACTTTTACAAAGTTATGTGTCATAATACGTGCCAACAACTGACAACCTTTGATTCTATAAAATAATCAGTTATTAATCTTTGCAAGGTAATTTATGTTTTTTTGTGTAGGCTGGGTCCTTCCATTGTGATAAGATGAGTCATGTTTCTATGCAAGAGTAACTTCCTAACCCATCGTTGAGAAAATCATGGAAAATAAACGGAGCATGATCATCACTCAATATTCCATGCATATATCCCAGCGAATACAGTATACCAACATATGAAAACATGCGGGCTTCCTCAGTTCTTTGCCTGATTGAGCACACATAATTTTCTGCGCCTTACCAAGAATTCCAGAATATATTCCAAACACAAGATTAACCGTGGGAATAAGCCAACTTCACTATCTGCATATGGAGATGAGCAGGACGAAGATTTTTTTTGCTGATGACCATTATTTGCGGAATTGGCAGAGAAAACGTCAGCCATAGCATAGTGTATTCCAAACTTCCTGTTATATGCATTAAACCCTTGGGAAGATACAAGAAAATTTGCACAATTGACGTACTGAGTGATGCTTCCTTGTTTGACGTTCAAACAAGAAAATTCTCCTATGCTGTCGTAAATATCCATGCTAAAAGTATGTATGTTATCATATGTGATGCCTTTTTGTTGTAAATTAGACTCATAAAAGTATTGATGCTGCATAAATGCGGAAATGGGATGTATTTGTGTACACAAGCCTTTATCATGTTATTTATATTGAGGAGTCCGCAAATGCGCTTCAACCAAAGTCGACAAAAAATTCGAAAATTATTCTATATGTGGTGAATAATACGGTCGAAGAGTGATCTGAAACAAAATGCAGAAGTGGAATAGTAAATTATAAATGCAAAGGTTCAGCATTTGTGAACATTTATTTCTTTGATACGCATTTTGCTGACGTGGAAACCATGGAATGGCAACTACAGTACATTTGAAGCTGTCTTAAATTCATGGTTTTCTCCTCATAGGAAGTCATTTGGATAATTGTGTATACTTACTGTACTTAAACCCTTGTATACAATAAAGATGGTGATATTTTTGTGAATCAAGTGTTACAAAAGCGTGTCAGATTTTCTGGCAATATTTTTCCCATGTTCAAATAATTGAAAAAAATAAGGCATGTCTCTGGCTTTTTACAAAATTTTTGCTATATTCGTCTAATTTCTTCATGACTTAATTCATGCTTCACATATCCACATATTCTTGGCAGACTCGCGTATAATTCATCCTTGACATAGATAATATCGGGTATCGTTGTTATACCCCAGTCGTGGCCATGATCACAATAAGGATTAGCATATTACTCATGCTCATGAGCTGTTATCTTGCCGCAGCAACTTATCGTAGTGTCCTTGATGGTGAGCAAATTTAATTGACAATTTGTCATGAATCGTTCTCACGCATATATTTTCCCCATCATAGATTCCCATGAAGACGACCTGCTGGGAAACATTTGGAATGGTACGTTCGACAGTTTTCTTGACAAAAACGGAAAAAAGTTTGAAATTGACAAACCAGCCATCGACGACCTGGATGACGCTCAGAATAAGGTTTTATTCTTTGAGAGAGCAAGGGCTAATGTGGATATTGTGAGAAAAGAGAGGGACTTGTCAAAAATGCCAGGATTCTTGGGATCGCTTGGCTCCTTGCCATTCCCTGCTGAGTTTGGCAATCGATTCATTAAATCCAAGAAATCGGAAGAAAAACGGTAAATGGATTCGACTTTTCATTATAAAGAGTGAGTATATGTACCCGAGTAAAATTCAGTTAGCTCAATGACGCACTTATTGATTTAATGCTCCAAATTTCTGACTCGCAGTAATTTTTTTTAACAGATGCATTCGGGATGAGCAAGTAATTGGGCTGCAGAAAGTAATGCTTTAAAGGTTTGAAGTAATTCAAGTCCTTGAATATCAACGATTACGATTTCCTTTAATTCTTCTTTATTTTCGTCCAACAAAAAGACTCTTTCCCGAACTCGAACCTTTTAGTGGTCCCTCGAAGTTTGACGTGAAAGAGGTTTGAGTCATATCTATTTGTGTTTGAAATAAGTTCGTGAGAATCGTGACTGAGCTCATTTTATAAAAAAATGTAAGCAGTGTGAAACATGAAAGCGTATGTCTCATGATCGTGAGATGATTTTCACAGCTTGTGGCAGCAGTCTCCAACTTTTCCGATGAGTGGATCACCAGCAAAGGCATCACTGGAGTCTTCGTCATCAGTGAAGAATGACGATGAGAAAGCAGAGTGCGATACCAGCATGACTTACTTCAAAGGAGAATGATACAATTTTTGACTTATCCACCGAACAACCTTTATTGGCACCGATAACAAAAAACTGCATATCCTGAGAACGCATGATTTTTTCTTCCTTCTTTCTCTTCTCCGCAACGACAATAGTGAGCATCGAACACTGGCATGGGTAACTTTGTTCCGGAAAACGGGGGTTTTACTTCTTCATGTTCATCGTATCAGCAAAGGATCCTTTTCTCATCATTGGCCATTGTCCTCAGATCACGTAGTGGCAGAAGGACATCAGTGTGCTTCTGGAGCAGGCTTGGTAACAGCATGCTGAGATCAGATTTTGGGACCTCTTGACCAACAGTGCCTTTGAGGCCCAGGGCTCAGAAGGCTCCAACTTGTTGCTTGTTTCAACTGAAATCACGAAACGGGGAATTAAGCTAAAATATATGTGTCCTGATTTTTCCCGAATTTTTTCACGCAAATTCTCTGCACGGAAGTTGGTTGAAACTTGTAAATGGTGTCTTCGCATAATAAATCTCATTCAAACTCTTCAATATCGTATCCGGCTCTGTGACATTCGATGGCTAAGCGTGACTGAATCAGTTCTTATAAGAATAAGAGAAAAATTACGAGCAAATATTTTGTTTCCGATAACCTCAAATAAAACGACGAAATCGGTGCTTGTATCTAAAAACACTGCGTTTTCGCGAAATGAAACAATAGTGACTATGGCTAGCAATTTTAATAAGATTGTTTCTCATCGTGTTGGCAGCAGACTTGTTCATCTTGCTTGAAATCTCTTTATAGTCGTGGCACTGAAATTTGTTTATAATATATGTTTTTGAGTTTGTTTGATTCTGCATTGGTGACTGCTGATAAAATGCTGATGCCATTTGTGGAATGTGAAATAGTGTAACGCACTTGACTGGTTTTTATGAGGAATTATATGCAGGCGGTGCTTGATGTGGAATTATAATTAGGGCGGCGAGGTGAACATTTTCTAGAAAATGTGATGGTCACGAAATTATGATTCATGCGCTATTCCTCTGAATTTATGTGGAAAGTGTGACTCCGAATTGTTGGGCTCGTGACGTTGATGGATGTGGCAAAGATTTGTAGTTTTTCGGACTTATTTAAGAGTGGATGAAATTTCTGCGCTTTCAAGTTCAGCAGTTCTTGGATTTTACGGATTTATGTGTGGAAAATCATTCGATACCTTATGTGCTGGGGTTTGAAATGCGCCAGTTTTTTTTTTAGGTAATGCTTATTCTCTTCTTACTACTTCTCTTCCGAGAGACACACGCTCTCTCCAACAGCCCGAGCAGTTTGCTGCTGCAGGCCCTCACGACGGATCTCGTCATCCTCGTATGCTTCCACACGGGATCCTCGTCAATGTTGTCCAAGGCACCCCAGGAATCCCAGTTCTCCAACAGTTGGTCGGAATCCTGGAAATCTTCTTCTCCCTTGTTCCGGTTGTTGGAGAGAAGGGACCAAAGAGCCCAACCGGGCCTGGACTGCTTGGCTGATGCCAAAGGAAGCGCTTTTTGTTGTGCGAGAAGACCGTCTGAGAAGCTCAGATCGGATGGCAACGAGTGGCTGTTGACCTGGTACATAGATAAGGCTAGCAGGGCAACCAGCAGTGCTGGGACTGCTCCAAAGATCCTCGTCGAGAACATCTGCCGACACGAAGAGAATATGTGGAAAACTTGGATACATAATGGGAAACATATTCAAATTTTGCTGGTGGCTTCCGCTTACCGTTGTATATACGGATTTAATGTATATAGTCGTTGATTTATCAACCCAAAACAGGAATAGACGAGAATCTTCAAAAATGCCTGCACGCCTTGCTCTCTGATGCGAAACTGAGCAGCAAATGTTTCTGGCAAGCATTTTTATAGCTGGTTGTCCAATGAGAGAAAGCCTTGAGGTGTTGCTCCCCGCGTTTCTTCAGGTCAGTGAATTGATGACCGGGGCTTCATTTGCGAGCCCCTCATTTGCATGTGTAAATCACCTGTCATGCATGCGCGGATTATATGCGTGATTTTTTTCCGGTCGAACGCTGCTGATGAATTGAAGACAAGATCGGCAGCAACGGCTTGCCCATGTTTTTGCCCGCTTCATCCGCGCCTGCTGGAACAATTTGCGAGTGCGATGCGGAAAGTTTGCACATGAGTGGAAAATCTGGTATATGCAGTATATGGAGGAAGAGGGGGGTTTTTCCAGTTCTTTTTGTTGTTCTTTGACGCGTTGTTGTTGTTATTGAGAAGATACTCTCCTGACGTTAGTGACGCACGAAAGTGCGATTTTCTTAAATGTGCCTGTTTTTCATGCCCTTCTGCTGTATATATATAGACAGAATTTGACAGCATCACTTCGTAAATAAACTAAAAATTACTCAAGTAGGAAATTGATGTTTCATCTGATTGCAATGTTTGCCTTTTTAAATATGTTGCACGGTGAGCATTATTTATTTTTCCCTCAGTTTTTGTAAAATTGTTTGAAATTGGAGAATCGTTCATTATTCGACTCATATGGCAGTTTGTCTGGTAATTTGAAGTGTTTGAGTATGTAACTAATTTATTAGTTTGTTTTTCTTGTAGGAATGTGTTGCCCGTCTATTTATTTTTAAATGAAAAATCCTTTTTTTATAACGGAGGTTTGTGTTTTATCTGATTCTAGTGCCTATATGTATACAGCTTGTCAATGCCCTAACTTAATAATCATTTAATTTCTAGACTTATTTATCCTGATAATTGTCCTATCAGAAATAAGAAGTCAATGTGAATAGAATATAGACAGAAAATGGGTTCTTGGAGGCTTTTATATCAACTTGAAGTGGCATATATGCTTTTATGCACAAGAAGCCAGAAAAACTGTGCTTAAAATGTGCTAAATGTCTCTCTTACCAGCAGTGTACATTTTTAAGAATTTATGAACCATTTGATGGAAGTGCAAAATATTTACATTTCATGAGATTTTGTACATGCTTTGAGTGTGAAAAAAATAGAATAATATTCAATCTGATATAGTTGACCCAAATCTCCTGGTTGGTGATATATAGAAAGCTCAGTTTTATTCCTGAGGTAGTGGATGAACTGTGAAATGTCAGACTTGAAAAATCATAAAATAATTCTCTTAGTGGGATAAAATTTTGTTTCAAAGAAAATTCCCCATCCGTTCCGGAAAATATGCGTTTGAACAGGCTGCATGATAATACCCAAGTCCCAATCCGTTTACTTTGAACAGGCAGCGACGAGAATCTGACCAACAATGAAACATTCCAGTGCGGAATGAAAGTGCATAGAGGGAACAAACGCGATTGTTCCGGATGGAGGATCTGCTGATCGTGAGTGTAATCATTGATCAAATCTGGCAACGTTGACGCATGGACACCTGGCCCACTGCAGCCAGTGGCTCTCTTGATAACGCAGATGGATTCATCGCATTGTAGGCTGCTTCTGTACAGCATATGTGGACTATATAGATGCAAGTGGAGCCTGTTTCTCAGCTATCTTGTCACAGATACAATACATCATAGGGTGAGTTGATTTTGAATGTATTTCATCACTGTGTATCTGTCAAAAATTGGTTTCTTGGTTTAAATTAGAATAAATTGTCAGATTTGAAGCAATCTTATATATATAGCAAAACAAAACCAACGTGCTATGCATCTACGCATGAGAAGAATTATAGAAAACCTGTCGTCATCAAGGATGATACTTATCTTGCAGAACCAGGATTTTACTAGGAGGTGAGCCATTTATTTGACTTAAACATTTGAATTTATTTTGTACGTTCCGCACTTCAGTGGGAATTTATTCAAAGCCTGATGAGGTGGAATGTTTGAGGAAAAGATGACAGCCCTAATTTTTTTTAAAATTTAGATGATGAAAGACATTTTTTGCTGGTTCATACACTTATATTTTAAACTATGAGAATCTAAGCTGATGTTGGCACCATTTTGAGACGGACTAATGCAGGTACTGCAAAAAGAACATCTGTGTGATATATACAGTACAGTAGTCAATACCTGGTTTAAAAAACAAATATGAAGCGTGAATTCAGATGTTATCAATTGCTCTGGAAATTGTGATTCTGACAACTTGCTTTTGATAGAATGGGAAATGGATTGGAAAGCAGCGGAATAATCCCTCATCTCACCGGTCAGGATTTCGACTGCAAGTGACATCTATATAACCACATCAAGAAATTCGGCTGAACTTTGCTATGGGAAGAGTCTATGTGGAAGAGTGCTGGAACGGAAGAGGAATATGACCCACTAGCTCATGCACATTTCCATCTGAATTGGATCAGCGAAGTTCTCTAAGAGCTCATATCTTGAGTTGAGTAAGTGATGTCAAGATTGATTTTTCGGATTTTCTCTCTTGTCCTGCGACTAGAAAACAATTCTCATACACTGTGTGTGGGTGTGTTTTTTCCATACAACATAGTAACAGTTTTAGAGATGCTTTGTTAATTTTTTTTAAATTGCAAAACTTTA